ATGAGAAGGAAAAACTAAATGGCTAACATTAGCTAAATTTCATCTCAAAAAAACCTGCCACAATAAAGAGTATGAACAAGTGTGAAAGTAATTACACTTAATTCTTACAACTTTGCTAAACTGACCTGTTAGGTTTATATAGCAATGACCAAGTGAGTTCATATATTAGATAGACAGAGGAACAATAAACAGTGCTACTGGTTTGTTGTTTTCATTGATCTCTAACTCCATCCTAAGAAGCAATTCACTGATCCCATGGCAAGATGATAAATCATTTAACTGTCCCATAACTACTTAACTCTCAGATATGTTCCATGAGGAAAATTTTCAACCTTTACAGATTTCAATCATTTAATCCACTCCTATCCCAAATTTGTAATGATGCTTTGTAAATATTGTAATCATTTAGCAGGTAAAAATAGCACATACCTTTACATCAATTACTAGGAAAACCTCAAAATAGTAGTGAAATAGTCTTACCATTAGTACCATTAGAATTATGGTCACAGCACTGTAAAGGTCAATTTGAACACACAAAAAAAAATAAAGCACAGCACGACAGCTTTTGTGAGTTTTTGGAAAATTAAGTGATAATGTGTCCCTGCTACTAGATTATAGTTTGAGTTTTAGTTAACTTAAAAAAAAAAAAGAGTATATGTATTTTGAAGATGCATATACTAACAGCAAGTACATTTAAAATATAATTAATGCTGCTTTGCAGAACTAAGGAAAATCAAAGAGGTCTGTGCTTTTGTCAAAATGTGCATTATACAGTCCCACTGGTTGACCAAGGACTTACATCAAAACAACCCAAACCACCTTTTTAAAATTTAGAATTTTTTCATTTGTAGTACTGGGGATCAAATTTAAGGGCCGTATGCACATTAGGCAAGTGCTCTATTACTAAGGTACACTCTCAGCCCTATTTTTAAAATTTGGATGCAAAATATGAAACTAATTGAGAATTACAATAAGAAATATTAAATATCACTGAGAAGTTAATGAGTATATAAAATATAAATGCAGGGCGAAAGCTAGTTAGTCTTACCACACAATATCCCATGTCAACTTTACTAGATAATAATATGCCTTAAGGTATCCACTTAAAAAACAACAAAGACTGAACAATACGAAATTTCTTTTTATACAGCGAAAGAAAACTACAGAAAGTGTTGGCCAAAATAATTGAAAGAAGCAGTCTGTTCAGGACTTGGTGAAAGAAGTTAAATTCAGATTAATTTCTCTTTGAGAGTTAACTGACAACTTCAGAATATACTGTAATATTTTGAACATTTGACTAAAACTTAAAACTGGAGCTAAAAAGGAAATAAAACAATTCAAATGTCAACTTCCTGTCACAAATTGATAATTTTTTTTAAATTTAAGGATATGAAGGCCTAATGGCAAATACTGTTAGTTTAAAAACAAAGGTCCTATCCGCCATGTGAAATGAGACAAGCCTATAATCACAGCACTCTGAGAGGTTAAGTGAAAAGGTTGGCAACTCAGTGAGACCCTAACTGAAACTCAGAGTGAAGGCCATGTGCTCAACCCACAGAACCATGACCTAAAAATAAAATAATGAAAATAACTCACCAGTCAGCAGATCAAGAAGCTATGAAGAAATATTTCACGATTTTATGAAAAATGAAACTCTTCATTGATGTGCTGACGCAAACCAACTGCTAGCCCTCCCTACATAGTGTGGGACAGCAAGATAGAGGATTGTAAAGTTATTCTATCATTTGAATAAAGGAAGGGGAGCACATACTTGCATAAATATTGACAGAAAATTTCTGAAAAGACAAAAATTGGGAAACATGCGGGTAATGGGGAGAGATAATACAAGGCATTTGCTACATTTTGTTTTGAATTATGGATCATGTAAATTACTTATTCCATAAACAAAACTGAAAATACAAGAAGGGTACTTTTTACTTCACCAAGGGTGACCTCTCTTTTCTTTGAATCCTCTTTATGACAAATATTTTCCCTTCTTAGTTTCTGTGTTCCCAACAGTCCTTTGAGGATACAGGAAAGGCAACAATGGATGCATCAGCGGCAGCTTTTGGCACAGAGTATTAAGCATGGCAAGGCAGGTATACAGAAGACACTAGATGAAGGTCCAATAAAATTTAACAGCTACGACTGGCTGCATACTTAAGGTATTTCACCTCACAACCCCGTGGAAAAATTGTTTTAATTTTACAAATAAGGAAACTAGCTGAGAAAGATTAAGAAATTCTCTGTGACACAAAATTCTTTTAGGACAGGCATATGGCAAAAATGGTCACATCAAGATTCAAACCTAGGCCAGTGACTATTCCAAACCAGACGCTCTTCAAACTACTTTCCGTCTCAGTGCTAAATATTTGAGTTACCATAAACTGTTGTTTCAAGTGATACTGTGGTAGAGATGAGTTCACACATGGCTGAGAAAAAAAAAAAAAATCTTGCATTTTCCATTCCCTGACATCTGCTATGTTCTTTATCTTCAGATTTGAGCTCTACTGAACATAATGAAACCATCAATTGATATTACACCATGTTTGTGAGACTGTCACTGGTTGACCCTAAGCAAGGTGATTTATGTCTGATAATTATGAAATTGTAATTTGTGAAACAAGGTAAACATTAAGTTACAAGTGAATTACTTTACTGTGTAAGAGAGAAAAGTTTTAAATGAAATGGAAAATATGTATTTGGTGTTTTATAATTATACTGTATTCAAACAAAACCATTTATCCTGGAATGAGACACATTCATTAAGTCACTTCTCTAAGAAAACAAATTTTCTACTAAAAAAATCTAATCAGTTTTAACCAGCTAAGAATGAATTTCTTGAAGCAGAAAAGGAAGTTTATAGATCAAGTTTCTAAGTTTCTTCAGGCTCTTCAGTTAAAAAAAATTTTTTTTCACTCTAAAGAGCAGAGTTTTAAATTTCAAAAGCAGCACTCTTTTACAGTTTAGGTAAATGCCCACCTCCCCAAAGAAAAATGATATAAATTCAGCTATAATTTTTACCAGTTCCTGGGAGAGTGCACTAGTAAGCTCCAGGTGAGTGTTCAAATACTAAGTTTTTAAAGTTTTTCCTGAAACTGTTAAGAGTCACAAATTATAGTCTTAAAATTTAAAAATCTTTTGTACAAGACTGAAGGAAGAACACATCAGAAAATAATTTCAAAAGTGTCACTGCATATCATCTATGAAGAAATAAAAATTCTACTTAAGCGACGCTGGCTGGCAAAAAATCTTTAAGGAAAATGTCATTGCCTCAGTTCTTATGAAAAAACTCCCTTTATTGTATCTTAATTTTCTTGGCAGTGACAAGGAGCTAATGTGGTCTTTTAAGGACCATGATGCAGCTATGATGCAGCTAAGTAGGTTCTGGAAGTGACTTGGATACAGAAATATCACCCAGCAATGTTTACTATCAGTACTGCTCACTTGACACTTTGTAGGCATCAAACTGAACGGTACAATTACCCGTCCAGTTAAGCTTTCAAATTATCTAAGTAACTGTTTGGGGCTTTAGTTTTAAATCAGGAAATGAGCAGTGCATGTACAAGATATGAAGAGATGGCAACCAAAAGTATCTTCTACTAAATCTGCAGAAGGGAGGCCTGATGCAAGCCGAGGCTAGCAGTGAAATTCCTGGAGAAGGTATTACAAATTTAAATAGGTCATACAGCAGGCCCTCTTAAGCTGTCTTTTAATCTTTAATATGTCAATGGCTTTTCTTTTTTTTTTTGCAATACTCTTTTTTTCCAACAGACGACGAAAAAAGTCCGGCCTAAATTGTTGTGAACCTCAGACTAAGGTTACTTACTGCATTCGACTCAAATAAAGGATACTTTCAATGCCTATTTTTAGAATCAGCATTAAATCAATCCCCCACTGAAGTTTAGACAGAAATATGCTGAAAACGAGGTAGAGGGGGATCGAAAGGGCCAGAGGAGCTTCAGATCCTTTAAAGCTCTTAGCAAGATTGGCCCCTTCCACAAAAAAAAAAGTGATATAAAACAAAAATTACCTCAGCAGTCGTTTCAACGAAAGGTTTCAGAATCATAGTCCTCAAATTATTATTAAAAAGGGTTAAAACCGAAACTGCTTTCAAACACCAGCTTCCCTTTTAAAGATCCCAATAGTTTCTTCAAAAAGTTATTATGAACTTTTTTTCCTTTAGCACCCCCTTCTCAAAAAGAATGCATTTCCATGACTACTTTTTTTTAAGCGTGCGCGCGGGGAGGGGGGTAGTGGTTGTGAGAAAGAGTAAAAAATTTCCCTTAAAAAGCACGAGCCCTCAAGAAAGCAGCAAAAGGCAGAAAACAGCACCTTCCCCAACAGTGTGGGCGCGGGGAGCCAGGGCACGAATAAATACAGCACGAGAGAACACCTTGGGTTTGGAACTTTATTGCACAAAGAGCGCGGGGACGACAGCACCTCGGACGTGGCCGCTCGGTTCCCGGGCCCTGCGGCCCGAGCACCTTCACCTCCGCTGCCCTCCGCAGTCGCCTCCTTCCTCCTTCTCCACCCCCCACGGGCGGCGGGCGGCAGACGGACCGAGGCGAGGCAAAGCGAGGCGGGCGGCCTCCCCCGGGGCGGCTCGCTCCGGCTCGGGCTCGGGCTCGGGCTC